CAGTGTGGGCTGTTCCTGTGCTGGGACTGAGGTCACACCATAACCTCAGTTGGGTTTTCCACAGTCTTTTCTGTTTGTGTGCAGGTCTTTGGCAAACCAGAGTATTTGAAGTACCAGGAGGCTCTGAACGAGCTGGCAAACCTGTAAGTGCAGCTGCTGGGTCTGTGGTGGCTTCTGTGTGAACCCAGACGGGTTTGGGGCACACCCAGTGTCTGACATGGGCTGTTGGTGCCTGTCTGTCCCTCTGGGTTCTCACCCTCCTTGCAGCCTGTCTGTTGATGTGGTTTTTGGGGTTGTTCTGTGGTCACACTCCACATTCCTGCCTGTCCCTGGCCACTTTGAGCCAAGGACTTGCTCAGAACAGACACACACATCAAGTAACACCTCTGGGGTGGTGGTGACAGTGACTTTTCTCTGCCCACAGGACCAAGGCCCGTGGGGGCAGCAGCCAGCGGCAGCACCAGTCGGCGGCGAAGGACCTCACCCTGTCCCCTGAAGTCTCCAATCCTGCCACCATCCAGGTCACCTACCTGCCTTCCAGCCAGAAGAGCAAACGTGCCAAACACTTCCTGGAGCTGAAGAGCTTCAAGGACAACTACAACACGCTGGAGAGCACCCTGTGAGCGTGCAAGACCCTGCTCCAGGGCTGGCCTGGGTGGGTTGGCAGTGCAGCAGTGCTGGGAGGAAGCTCTTGGATCTCCCTCTCACCCCACGCTGGAGGTCGTTGCTCGGTGGAGACTCCGTTGCAGCTCCTGGAGCTCAGCCCTCGCCAGGAGCCCATTCTGGGGCGATGCACCTGCCTGCTGAGCCCGAGGGGATCTGCCCCATGGCCTCTTCCAGCACAGGCTTGTGACACTCCAGGCTTTGAGCCTGGCACCGTCTTGGACCCTGTGAATAAACTGGTTAGCTTGAGCTTATTTATAAAGACAGACCCCAGCCAGCGCTCCCCTGCCCGTCCCTCCCCGCGGCGGGCGCTGATGTCCGTCCGTCCTGTCCCTGTGGGGCTCAGGCTCTGGAGCCACTCTGTCCTTTCCCAAGGGTGAACACTTTTCCTGGCCCTGTTGTTCCTGCTCTCAGCCCTGTGTGCCCAACCTGCCTGTGTGCCCGGATTGGGGTGTAAATAGTTCGGTGCCCGTTCCCAGCGCCGCGGCCGAGCTGTCGCCTCAGGCTGCGGTTTCTACTCCTCCTCCTCCTGCAACTGGGCATGTGGGGACATCTCCAGTGGACAAACCAGTCCCATCTGTCCTGCCAAGGGGGTGTTTGCTCCCACTTTCACCAGCGCCTCGTGTGCCAGCGGGGCTGAAAGCTTGCAGCCCTCGCCCTGAGCCTGCAGGGTGAAGGGCTCAGACCTCGCACCGACCTCGGCACTTTTTAATTGCTGTTTAATAAAAGGACAGTTTAGCCTGAGCAGGATGTGTGCTGCTGGCCTCTGGCTGCAGGGAGCACATCCCTGCCACATCCAGGGCTGTGTCCTTCCCAGAGGTAGCTGGGATGTTGTCAATGGTAGGCAGGATACTGCCATTAGAGCTATGGTAAGCAGGATGTTGTTAGAGTAACCAGGATGCAGTTTGGGTAACTGGGAGGCAGTTTAGGTAACCAGAATGCAGTTTTGGTAACCAGAATCATAGAATCAACCAGGTTGGAAGAGACCTGAAGGATCATAGAGTCCAACCCTAAATGTTGTTAGAGTAACCAGGATGCAGTCTGGGAAACTGGGATGCAGTTTGGGTCACCAGGATGCAGTCTGGGTAACCAGGATGTTGTTAGACTAATCAGGATGCAGTCTGGGAAACTGGGATGCCACCATTACAGTAACTGGGATGCTGTTCCCATAACCAGGATGCTGTTAGTGCCATGGTAACCGGGATGTCGTTACTGCCATGGCAACCAGGATGCCGTTGGTGCCCCAGTAGCACCAGCAGTGCAGAGGGTGGTTGCAGGGTCCCTGCAGCACCAGCCAGGGCAGTGCCAAGCAGCCAGAGCTCCCTGCTGAAGCAGGAGGAGGTTGGATGGGGCAGGGGCTGGGAAGGTGGGAGCTGGCCTGGGGCTCCTGGGAGTCGGTGGGGATAGGGGTGCAGTGTCCCAGGTGTAGGTTAAACCCCCCAAACACACTCTGGTTGCAGGTCCTGGCGAATGGCAATGCCAGAGTGAGGCTAGAGAGGTAGAGGCAGAGAGGTGATGGGGAACCCTGGCCTGGGGCACGCTGAGGGAACACATCCCCATCCTGTGTGTCCACAGTGGTTGGGGGTGGCCAGGGAGCACCCACAGTGCTGGGAGAGGCTGTGGGCCCTGGCCTGCAGGGTGCTGCAGTGGAGCAAGGACTGGGAGGTGCAGGGGTGAGGCTTGGGGGCAGCTGGGGGCACCCAGCCCTGTGCTGACAG